TTTTTATTGTACTACATAAGACTGCAGCCCTGAGAAGCAACCACACAGGAAGAATTCCCCCCCCGCTCCCCAAACACAAATTTAAACACGCGGTCACACAGATACCTCCCTTTCTGCAAGGTCAGTGCGCAAGCAATGAATAATAAAGGTTTCTTCTTCCTAAGAAAATGGCATCTACTTTTCCAGAACCAACCCCTACACACCGAGTCAAAAGCCTCTGCACTCAAACGTCGTGTAAGAGTAAACCCCGTGATGTGAATATTTATAATCCAACTTCTGTCTGTCAGTGCTTCATTACTTATTCTGATGGGACAAAATTGCTTTTAGTGTAATTTTTTGGTGAAAAAATTTCCAGGCATCAAAACTGACCTTGGGCTGCATGACAACTAGCAAGTTAGTGTTGCATGGCACTGCTTTCTGAAAATGATCAAATTGCTTATCTCTACCCCCCACCTCTACGCACTGTCCTTCAACTAATAAGTGTTAGTATCTCCAGTTTAAGAGACAAACAAACAGAGGTGGCTGGAAGAGTAGACGTGCTGAACACCCCGCACTCCTCTGGGAGCGTAGGCGCTGCGGGTGCCACAGCTGGCACAGCCAAGGGGAGGCTGGGAGCAGAATCCGGGCCGCCCGACTCCCAGCCGCCGCGTCCTCCGAAGGCTCGTCTTCTACTGATGTGACTACTGCAGCCCGACTTCGTTCCTGCATTCCACATCAGGGAAACATTATATAAAGGGCTGTTATTTTCTTCGTTAAGAATTATTTTCGTTGGCTAACTATTTTATTCTCAGCAGGCACGGTATACCAGGGGGACTTCGGGGAGCACCACCAACAAAGCCCAAGGAACCATGTCCTCCCTCCTGGTGTCAGGGAGGGACAGCATCACTTTGCAGCCTCCTGCTGCACGGTTGTAGCTGCATTCCCGGTGCTACAGCCTTGCCACCACAGTCATGTCTAATTTACGCACTTTATAGTTAAATCCTTAGCGTGACACTAATTATACCAGTGCCACGAATGAGTTACACCTGGAAAAAACTATTGTCATCACATGTAGTTTGGACTGTCCTTTGTCCAGCATGTGGTGTCACTAGTTCCTAGGCTCTTAGATCCTACAAATTAGAACTAATGATACACCGGCAGAGTATTACAAAACCTGCATGCAGGCAAGCCCAAAGCACTGACTAGAAACAGCAGAGAAGCCCCATCGAACTCCTGCAGCTACTCTGATTTTGTTCCTGATCATCCTCCATGCTAAGAGCACTCTCTGCAGTAACCTCTGGCACTCTTTCACATTTATCCTTTTTCAGCGCTACAGCCAGACCTTCTATTTTTCTTTTAGAATTAGTTTCTTCTGGTGTCATTTCCTGGTCCAGTAACGGTAATGGAACTGGACGGGTACTACTGGTTCCGGTATGCTGAGCTATGGAAAGTCCCCTACGACTGAATAGCATTTAAGAAACAAAAACAACAAAAAAGAACACTTGTCCTGGGTCAATCATTTGCAAATATTTAACTGCAAAAAAAATTCATGCCTGTTTACAGAGTGACAAAGTTCTGTGTCCCCACAGATACTTGATTTTCCTTTTCATTGCATCCTCTCAGATACTTCCAGTTTAGTTTATAGCGTCAGTGTCATTTCAAAAGACTGTTCAGACTGGCCGAATTGTTTTCACGCAGGCAACCCTCAGGGATGGAACAGGTTAGCCAGCTAAACGCTCTGAAAACATCCGGATGTTTTAAGTCACAAAGATTGTCTTAAGTTTTTCTGCAGAGGCTTGAATGAGAGAAGCATTTCTTAATGTCTCACCCAGTGCCTCTTAGGCACTAAGATTTTGGGCCCAGTCTTGGGGATCGAGGAACACGGCGTAGGGAGGTAAACAGAGGCTGCGTGACTATGAATCGCCCTGTCTCCCTCTGACCTCCAGTGTGCAATTATGCCTCCTGCGGTATGAAACTACGGGCAATTTGGCACATGGATTTCCTGAAACCCCACCTACTTTTACCTGTTTTATCTTCCTGTTCTCAGAGCAGCCTACAATAGCCAGCTTTTATTGCTACTCAGATTGCAGCTGCGGACTAAAAGTCTATTGGCGCCAAGAAGAGTCTTTCCTCTGACCTTGGTAGGTCTTATCAAAGGCACCTAGAAAAAACTTAGCAAGCTCTTTTCTATTGAGTAGTATATTAGGGAACGATAGTTTACGGGACAGAACCCTGCACTCAGAAGATTCAGACCAAAAAGCCGTCTCAGCCTGATTCCAGCTGACTCTAAGGCAAAATAAGCTGTCCTTCAATCTCTTCTCTGTGAACGAGGATAACTCTTCCCTGCCCCACAAAACCGTATTAAGAATAAAATCCACCACTCTACACACTTCAATAACGAGTACAACAGTATAAGCACTAAAATAGACCGGATTCATCCATTTTCACTGGAAGTTTAACGGCATGACACTGGAAACACCTGAAAGCGTGTCTAAGCAGAAGTGGTGCATAACTGCAGCAGTGTTGAAGATGTGACATGTTTTCAGTGTGGATACAGGCACGAAAAACAAAATTTAAAAGAGGAAAAGGGGAAAATGCCTTGTATAGAGAAGAAAGAGGAGAAATGGCAGATGAAAGAAGAACGAGAATGGGTTGGAAATAGGAGACAAAGCAAGTATTTCCTAGGCTGCAGGGCAAAATTCATTTTTTTAAATAAAAATGCAGTGATTTCGTGTATCAAATTTCCTAGTTCTTGCAAATAGTTCTTGCAGGCTACCTTCTGAATTTGTATGAAACAAGGTCGTCTAACTGACGCCCTGGGAGGATTTTAATTTTATGGGTGAAAATACATAAAGCAGATTTACACACGGTCATCGAGACACCTTGCTTGCTGCTGACCTGGTAACATTTGGCCCCAGCGGCGGGTATGCTTGTCCCTGCGACGCGCTGGCGGCGCCGGTGAGGAAGCCCGGGGTAGGTCAGACGTACTCGGAGCTGCGAATGTAACCGGCAAGCTCGTCCGAAAGGTAGAGCTGGAGAAGACAGTGGTACACACTGCCCTCTGCGGCTCTGTAGTTACTTGGATCTCTCTGTAGCGGTAAAAGCGGCACACTGCGTGGTTCTCTGAAGACGCATGGGATTAGTGGTACAACCAGGGATATTTCACTGTTTTCTCACAGAATTCTGTGGAAGGCCAGAGTGAAAAAAAGCCGCTAGTGCTTTTGAGCGTAAAAAAAAGCGTCTTGCCAACACGCCCTACGTAACGTGGTTTGTGACTAACACGTTTTTTAGTCAGGGCTCTGACAGCCACGTGGCGGTTTAAGGGCGCGCACGGACAGATGACATAACCAGAGCAGCAAACACAAGCAGGTGCCAACTATTTGCTCTTTCTGCTCCCTTCAGGGCATTGAAGGCGCTGTCAGACGCAACGAGGAGGTAGCGGCGGCGGGTAACTCCCCGCCACGGCTGCTCCCC